GCGAGAAAAGAAGGAAGGAAGACGAAAGTCCGCATATGCGAAATGAAAAGCGCGGTTTGCGTTAGCTATCTTACCTTTCATTCCTCTCGTGCCCCCTTCCCCCAGACCCCCCTTTTTACTCACACATTATTCGCTTACCATATTTTATACCTACCTACCTACTCTCTACTTACCTACACACCCTATTTATAAAAGCATAATATCGAGGATATAATAATATTAATATTAACAATATGATAAGGATGATATTGCTAATCATAATTGAGTGGGTTTTTGTGACATGATAATATTCTAATAATTAAATGAAGAAATTCTGGTTTTCTCCGTGCAAAATTGTAATTTAAAAAAAGGGAATAAGAGCATGATAGAAAGAGAGAGAGGGAGAGAAAGAAAGAAAGAGGGAGAGAGAGAGAGAGAGAGAGAGAGAGAAAAGACCAATAAAACGGAAAAAAAGAGGAAAGAGCAAGAGGATAATGTTATATAATACATTATATGTATACACACAAACACACACACTCGTACATAGATGCAGAGATATACGATATAAAAGAAAAATAAAAAAAAACATAAGAAAAGCGAGTTCGGCTTGCGGGGGCAAGGAAGCATAACTTGGCTAAAGCGGAGACAGTTCACGGTGACGAGACTCTTAGACTGATCTAGGTACTAGCGTTTATCGATACCACCGACCCCCTGCCCCGACTACGAAGGCGCTCCAAAAGTATCACACTCGCCCCTTCCTGACCCCCTAGTGCTCTTCACCCTCCTCCTATCTAACCATCCACCCACACCCCCTCTCTCCGTCCTATCCGTCCTCTCGCGTCCGTTCCCATATCGCCCCTCTCTACTTTTATACTCTGATAACCGGTGTTGTGGCAGCTGGGGCGCCTGAGAGAGGGGGGGAGGGGTTATCGGTCGCATTTTAGGATAATGCACCCACACTGTGGCTGGCGATGCCGTAGCCGCGCGCGCGCCCTTCTTTTTTTGCCCGGCCAACGCCCCGATATTAAAATAATTTCGCGGCATATGTCCTTTCTTCGGGAGAGAAAAAGAGAGAAGGAGAGAGAAAGAAAGAGCGAGAGAGATAGAGAGGGAAAGAAAGAAAAAGGAAAATGTAAAATCACTCATTCGGGGCTCCATCACGCGGTTGGCCCCTCTCACATGTCAGGCGGATGTTGTGTGATCCAAATGGGCCGAACGATTTTTAACGTTAGTTACGCGGCCCGCGAACCACGTGTTTTTTTTTAATTATATATATATAAATATATTATATATATTATATTCCCCCCTCTGCGAATATGCATTTTTGTGACGTGATGTTATTTAGCACTAATTAACGAGAGAGACGGAAATCATACGATGGTAAACTGAACACTCAATTGACGAAACAACCGCCCCTAATCCCCCGAGAAAGAAAGAAAAGAAACAAATAACACATGTACATGTTATATTACATATTTTTTTTTTTTTGCGCTACGTGTCAGCTCCGCGGCTAAACAGACGTGCAAAATTATCACCGCCAAATTCTTTATATCATTGCTGTAATTGTAATTTTTTTGCGTTTTATCGGATTCATTATTATTCACCTCCTCTACCAATCTACGCTTTGCTTTTTAATTCCCGCAATTTTTTTTCTCCAAGTTGCCCCTAATTTTAGTGTGAAACGTAGTTAAACATAATGATTATAATGATGAATTTAAAACGAATGTTATAACATGGTTCCTTTTTTTCGGGCTAGGAGCTTGATTTAAAGTGTCAAAGATTTTTGTGTATGACCAGATGTATTCTACATGTCTCAATAAACAGTTGTATGTGAATTACCTTTCTTAAACTTGCGCTGCACTTTATTTCGCGATCCACGCCCTCCCGTTTCTGATCAACAGTTCCTTTTATTTTTACTTCGCTATATCCTTGCATACATAGATGTGTACAGAAAGAAAAAAATTATTGGAGTAAAAATTATAACAAAAAACTGTTATAATATATCTTGGACCATACAAAAATTTATGATCGAAATTATATCCCAGCAAACACAATAATATAACAGTTACATCGTCATAATATAACGGAATGTAACGTGCAATATAACATGTTTGTTATATGTAACATACACGTTAGTTGTAATTTCCCACTCAAACGATATTGCAACTATATAACAGAAATATAACATGTTACTAAAATGTTATATAGCTGGAATATAATTATTATTTCCCAGTAATTATAGGTATTTAATTGTACGCAGAGATTATAAGCTATCACTCATATATCACTTAATTTATAAAAATATAATTATATATTTTGTATCAAAAATATTTTTACTAAAGGTAATAATATAAAAATATCTTGCTATTCTAAATTAATTAGCTCCCAAATAACACAAGATATTCCAGAATCATCCTAGAACTATTCTAGGTGTCTAGTGTCCCAGTATGTTCTCAGGTATTTCATGCTATTGGAGTTATTTTCATTTATTCATTTTCATCTTTCTGTACATATTCAAATGAAAAAAGTTACTATCGTAATAATAATTTCCATTATCAAAAAGTGTATCACTTCGTTTTACTATAAAAGTGAACTTCATAGTACAAGTTGTGCGATCTTGTGATCATCATTCTTATATATATTAATGCATCATATTTTACATACGAGAAAGACACGAGAAAACGGAAGCCATCTAATGAATGATCCGATCCTTAGATATAAGAATGCTATATAACATAGATGTAATGCAAATAAACGCTTGTTATATAACATTATGTTTTAGTTATGTTGGTGTTACATAATTATAACCTGTAAATAACAGAGAATTATAACAGTTCTAAAATACATATTGTAATTATAAAAAAAAATTATGTAATTTTAACATTAATAACGTATAGCATCCGTTATATTACGTGTTACTTCTATGTTATATAATAGTTATATTCTGTGTTTGTTGGGATATATTTATTTAAAATTGTTATGTATATATATATAGGCTTTTACTAGAAAATTATTGTAATTGTTTGAATATTTTCTATATTCGGTAGGTGGTCGTTTACTATTTTTACAGTAATATGTATTAAAATTTCAAAAGAGAGTATGGTCTAACTTGGTAAAAAACACTGCAAAAAGAACTATAATTTTACCGTAATTTTTAATGCAATATTTTCTCTGTGTACATTTGCAGGATTGCGTATTTTGTCCATATATACTTAAAAAGAAATCGGTGAGGAGAATGTTATAAAATATATCTTTATTATGTAAAAGATGCATTTATTATAAAAATTCATAATATGTTTTAATATTTTTAATTTATTCGATCAATTTTCTCCTATATGATGGCAGAACAGATTATCCCAATTGACTTGTAGAAAATCTTTATTTTATTTTAAAATCTTTATTTTAAATGTAATTAAACTTTTTAAAAATATTTCAGATAAATACTATGATGAGGGGATACAAAAACTAAATGCATTTTCTCACAAATACTATGAATTAAAAAAAATTTACATTAGTAAAATACATATTGCACTCAAGTAAATGTTATTTGTTACAAGTATTTCATAAGTTTGTATATCAGCAAATCTATTATAAGTTCATCATGAGCATGACAGTTATTCAATATGCATTCTAAATGCTAGTAAGTTTAGTACTTAAATCAAGAATATTAAATTAAAACATAAAATCTCGATTTTTCTATTTCACAAAGCCGAATCAACTTTTCTCCTATGAAGTTTTATAATATTTTTGTAAAAATCATACCTTTTTTTTAGTGCATAATAATTAGCTTTTCTAAAATTAGTGATGAGTATATTTTAAGATTATTATCAAGCAAATGTATCTTGTTGAAGATAATCATTATTTAAAAGAAAAAGAGAGAAAATAAACAATATCTTAATAGTGAAATGATATTTTTTTGCGTGTACTTTTTATTTTTGTATTGTAAAGAATAAAATTCTTGGGGTGATAAATGTCACAATAAAGTACTGGAGAATATGTTACTCAAAAATTCGATTTTGGATACCTCATTAGACTATTGACACACCGATCAGAGTGTGAAGTTCGAACTCTGTAAGCAAGGCTGTAGCATTCAGCATTCAAAAGAAGGAAAATAAACTGAGTAAATTGCTTTTCTTAGCAGTAGAATGATATTTTTCCGTCTGCATTTTTTACTTTTCCTATTGTAAGGGATAAAATTTGCAAGGTATAAATGTTACGGTAAAGTACCGGAGGACATGTTCCTCAAAAATTCGATTTTGGATATCTTATTGGACTATCGATATATTGATTCTCATCAGAGTGTGAAACGCTAAATTCAAGCTCCAGTGAGCAGAGTCGTAGAATTTAGAATCTCCGGGTCTTTCTTTTCTCTGAAAATTTCCAAGAGAACGGAGGAGAAACTCGAACACTGCGCGGGGACGCTGGGAGAATTCGAGATTCCGAATTGCCAGCGATTGCCACCCCCTCGTGGCCGCGATCGCGCGACCACCCTTCTGTTTTTGGCGGCCTCTGTCGCCAATGTTGGGGCGTGTTGGCGGCGGCGGCGACGGCGGCGGCGGCGGCGAACGACGGAGTCACTCTTCGCGGAGGGGCGAGTCGCGCGCGCGGTCGGGGTGCGTTCTGATGTGACGTTCCGTCTTCTCCTCGTGACTCCAGTGATGGTGTCGTGTCACGGCCACGACAGAATCGACATCAGCGAAGGCAAGGAGCAACAGCAGCAGCAGCAGCAGCGACAGAAGGAAGGGTGCAAATCGACTGCCGACAGGGTGGCGGAGACAGTGGAGAGTGCGCGTGCACACGCGACGCTCTAGTTACGAAAACGATGACGTCCGATAAGTGCGTGACGTTCCGCCTGCGAAGACTGGTCTCCGGTTAACGCGAGAACGTGATTCCGCGACAGCAAGGGTAAATACCGCCGAGAGGGGACTCGA